CCCCCCCCCCCCCCACCTTAAATCTACGTCAACATGGATAGGAAACTAAATACATTTGCACATATCTTGTGTCCAATATACTTTCTGTTTTGGTGGTCATGCCACAACCGTGCACGTGAATGCATGCACGAGTCATGGTAAAATATCTGGATTAAGAGTTTGCTTTTTCTTTGCACGGCATGAAAGAAAGGCGAAATGAATGGGCTGTGATTTTAGTATTTTTAAGCAGAGGTCAATAATTTGTACGGCCCTCGGAGGATGTTTAAAACATTGAAATGGCCCTTGAGAGGAAAAAGGTTCCCATCCCCTGATCTAATGATTTGTATGATGTTTTATTTATGTTAAAGCTCACTTTGAATGATTCTAGCTAATGATAATGTAGAAAAACTCATATTTTAAATTTCGGGACGGTCCACATTAATTTCGGGACGGGTTAGATTGTATTTCGGGACGGTTCCGGGAGGATAGTGAAAAAAGTTAGTCGAGAGCCCTGCATGTGTGTTCTGGAGAATCACAGAACTGACGGACGTCCTTATTATTATGCCGTTTAAACCAATTAAATGTCTTTGTTAAATTCGGCATCATGTAAGTTAGGGATGCTCGCGATCGCATTACGTAAAATACTTTTCTCTGTACGCGGCAAAACAAGCTCGCCAAAATGGCTTCACCAGTCTGGCAGTATTTTAAGGTGTCCGAAATGACAATAAAATAGCGGTATACAACGTGTGTGAAGCCGAAATCCTGCAGCTCCGCCCGCTGTGACGGACCGGTGAGCGGAGCAACACACACACTAAGAGTTAGAACAAACACACTTAGCTATTTTATCTACCTATGGAACTAGACAAACTAGTAATAAATATATTTATTCTTCACTGTCGGGTCACTCATTACTGGATCAGTGAGCTGCATGTGATACTGACAGGCTGTCAGGAGAGAGAGAGAGAGAGAGAGAGGGGGGGGGAGAGGAAAACAGAGCGCTTATCCGCTCATTTCTCCCGTGTTCTTATCCAAAGTTAATGTAAACTTGAATAATGTACTTCATTTGAATGTAATAATTATGTTGGTTGTTGTTTGTGGAAGCGTCAGGGAATGAGCCCCATTAACTGAGTTTTAAACATCACTTTAAATGGAAGATCCCCATAGGCCCCGCCCACTCGATCGGACTATACTTATTCCGGCGATCGGAGCATCCCTAATGTAAGTCGCGCTGACAGGTCAAAACTGCTACACGAATCACACAAACGACCTATTTTGGTATAAAAACGGCTAATTTCGCCAGAAGGAATCATAATCAGAATACCTTTATTAGTTTATTAAGTACTAAGTTATGATATAAAGTATAGTATTACTATTTTGGCGATTAGTTAAAATATAAATTATATTTGATGCAACTTTAGTTACATTTCCATGACTTTTCCAAAACTTTGGGAAAAATATTGTTTTCTATAACTTTTCCAGGGCCTGGAATTTGCATTTTGAATTTCCATTACTTTTCCAGGTTTTTAATGACTGTACGAACCCTGTGAGATGTGTGCTCACCTTGAGTATGAGGTAGGGGACGAAGGAGTTTGCCTCGTACTCGGTCAGGTGGTAGCCCTCTCTGTTCAGCATGGCAAACAGCAGCTTGAGATATTCCAGCACCTTCATTAGGACTGTGGTGTTAGTGTCGAAGAACCTCAGGGTGAACCACTTCAGAATGAGGTCCAGACAGCTGATGGTGGCGTCACTCTCACTTTCCATCCTCTGTCACACAAATAGACTTCATTTCCAAACCTAGTCTCCTTCTGCTAAAATGCAATTAGTTTTTTTTACCAAACACTACCTCAATCATGACTCCTATAGCCTTGACGTGCCTCTGGAAGTCAAAGTGGAAGAGCTCATCCTGCAGCCACTTAGCAAAGCAGGTGGACATCTGGGCTTTCAGCTGCTCCAAATATTCATCTCGAGGAGTGTTGAAGTTCCATTTCAAAATCTGCAAAAGAGACATTACGAGTCAAACTGAATACCATGGTATTTCAGGTGAGCTGTGTGTGATTGATTTCAAAAAACATAATAACTTTTATTTTCTTTGTAATAACCTTAAAAACTGTTTTGGGAACTAAAATATTCTTAGCCAGTCTGAGTGGCTAGTTAGTTAAACTATGCCGACTGTGGGCTGATACCCAAACGAATAAATTGGGTATCCTTCAGTTCCAGTTGATACCTCAGATACAGTTTGGAACTGCTGTTGAACTGGGCCACTGGAGTCAGGACATGTCATGTTAAGGGGCTGTCAGATACCTTCAGTTGCTTCTCCTCTTTGATCCTCTGTTCTTTAGCATTGGGGATGAGGACAAAGATTGGCCCGGACTTGTCTTCCTCATCTTTCTGGGTTTTGGCTGCGGGCTTCTTACCAGCTGGACCCTGATGGGAGGTAACATCAGTGTCAGGGAGTCGCTGGGAACTTGACATGATGTCTATTCATGGGCTCTTTGTACAGATAGTGAGTGAAGTAAAAAGTGATGCGAGTTTTGGACGACATAATAGATGTGTAAGGCCACAGAGAGTAAAAACAGGAGAAAAGCAGTGTTATACTGAAAAGATCTCAGGGAAGGCCACACATTGCAAAAACATTAATGTGATGGTAATATTCCAAATAAGAAACACACACATTCAGAAGGACAGACACATGCAGTGGAGTGACCTTTAACCTTTTAATGTGACCTTGCTCAATTTGCTCTCGTCTGTATGCATGCATGTATGTTCTAAGCTTTTTGATTACTTTTATGTATAACCCTAAGCGCTTTGAGCACCAGGAAAAGCACTTTATAAATGTAATGTATTATTATTATGTCAGCACATTTTTACATGTTAAAAGCTTAAAACATGTGCATTACTCATGCCACCCAGATACTCTTTATCCATGTGTATTTAGTGACACATTTGTGTATTCAGTGGCATTATCAGTAATTAGAGAGACAGGATTAGACGGAGCCAAGATCCGACCGGGTCAGGGCAGAGAGAAGGGACAGGGGTTAACATCCGTCAGGCTAACAAGTATCCTCTGAGAAACTCCGCCCACGTCTGCTGCTCCACACAGCTGGCTTTAATAAGGAGCAGCATGGGGGTTTGATGTAGAGGAGTTTCATCACAAGGACACCTGCACAGATCTACCTGTTGACTGCTTGCAGCAGCCTTCCCTTTGCTGGGGGGCTTTTTATTAGCATTACTGTCCTTGGAGGGAGGGGAAGGGACAGGTTCCTTGGGAGGGGAGGGAGGCTGGGTGAGTAAAAAAAAAACACATATTTACATTTCATCCTCATGAAATGACTTGTAAGAACAATATGGTGCGCATAGTGGTTGTGCATTGGACACTCTTTTGAAAGTATTTGTTTATTCGCCAACAGAAGTGATCAACTGAAACACAAATGAAAGTGTGAAGTTTTATCATTTTAATAAAATAAATGGGAAAACATATTCCAGTGTGATGCACCTCAAATGAAATGTCATGTTCATAATGGTTACACCGCTATTAAATATGTATTAGGCAACTAAATATCAAAACTTCAGTGTTTGTGTGTGTTGTTGTTGTTATCCCATCATACCTTCTTTGTGGCCGCTCCTCCTCGGATCTTCTTAACTTCAGGTTTACTGTCAACAGAGTCCTCACCAGCTGGCTGCCTGGAGGCTGCGGGGGAGAGGCATGGGTCACATTGTGTGAATACAATACAAACAATTACCAGGCACAAGAGCAACTAATTGACATCTCACACTTATTGCATTCTGGGGTGTGCGTAATCAAACTGTGAATGTCACGACATATTTTGTACATCGATATTCACAGAGAAAGAGCGAGGTCAGATGAAAAGGATTGTTTTTTTACATTAAGAATTGGTTTTAATTTAAGAGTGTTGTAGTAAGAACGAGTTGAATGGCATTCATAGTAATGTCATACATACCTGAAGCAGCTCTACTTGGCTCTGCAGAGCCTTTTCCCCCTCCAGCTTTGGCAGGGGCAGCAGGTTTAGCTGGCATCACTGCTCTGGCCTTTTCCAACATGGCAACCACCAGATCCCTAGAGGCAGCCTGCAGGGAGTAGGAGAGACTTTCATTAATGCAGACAACACAACCTTTTTAAGGTGCTTGGGCCATGCAGTCACACAGAACTTTTTGCTAGCAACAGCCCGATCATCGCTTCAGTACTTTGAGTTTCCCAGCAGCCTTGTCCATCTTGTCATGTCCCAGTTGCATCATGAAGGTCGGCAGAGCGTCCTGAGCCTTCTTCCTCACATCTCCGTTTCTGTCCTCCAGACAGGCGTAGAGGAGAGGGACACACAGCATCAGGTCCGCAGGGACTGTCCTCAGGGTCAGCAGCTTCTCTGCTAACCAGCCCAGCAACTGGGGGATAAAGAGAGCGTTATACGTTTGTTTTATATTTTGGCCCAATACGATATAAATATGCATTCCTTGATGTCATTCTTCATATAGCCTGCCTATGAATTGTTTTTAAGCTCGATAAACACATAAAATATACACACACACCCCCCTTCTCCTTTTTCAGTTTTAACCTCCTTGCCTCACGTCTTAGTCCCGCCCACAGGAGATGCGAGCGGAGGAGACGAGGAGGGGAACCGAGGAGAGAGGAGTGGAAGCAACAGGCGTTCAGAGATGAAATCCTCTCCTCCGAGCGGTCATTTTAAAGCGACGTAGCGAAGGACATGGCAATCTTCACAGACAAGTTGACCGGCAGTAACTCTGTAAAACCCTGTGTGAACCATGATTTACCTCAGGAATATGCATGCCTAATATGTCACTTTGGGTCCAGTAGGTACAAGACAAGGAATTCAAGATTTTCTTCCACAAACAAGACAGTAAAGAGTAGATATCTTAGCACCTCCTGTCGGAGGAAGGGGTTCTCTCTCTTTAGCTCCTCTGACAGGTCTTCTCCTTCCAGCCACTCCTTCATCCCAGTTTGCTCCACCCAGGCCTGCAGAGTGCTCAAGGCAGCTGCCCTTACATTAACCTGCACAGGAACACAGAGACATGTTCATCATCAGTCGTGGGACCCGAAACTATCCCGGGAGACATGTTTGAATTCAGAATCATATTACTCTTTTCATCTTATCAGCTTGCAATAATTTGCATTTAGAAATGTAAAATATTTTCCATTATCAGTACGCTCTTCCTGTGCTAACCATGTGTAATGTTTAAGCATGAGAAAAGGATACAACATTGAATGTTGTACTATTATCTTTAGTGCCTGAACACTTGTTTTGATAAATGTTTGATTTGCTAAAAAATAATTCAGGGGTTGCTGTAACTTCAAAAAAAGTATGACACAAAGAGTCAAATAACTAAACAAAATGTATTTGTAGTGCTACAGATGTAGCACTCTAGAATGGACTCAACCCAACGGATTCCAGCCAAAAACCCAGCGGATCCCAGTGGCTGGAGGTGTAAAGCCCTCCCACTATTTCCTGAGAGGGCGTTACCAGATTTTCAATTTCAGGATTTAACCATGAGATGGCGCTTCATTCACAAATACTAGGGCTGTCAGTCGATTAAAATATTTAATCGCATGATTGTCCATAGTTAATCGCAAATTAATCGCACATTTTTTATCTCTTCTAAATGTACCTTAGGAGGGATATTTTTCAAGTTTTTAATACTCTTAACATATGAGTGGACTAATGTAATTTATGCAAATGTTTATTATCATTTGAACAATGACAAATATGGTCATGAATATTAAACGCAACAACCTCTGAACAATACAAATATTCGCCTCAATTCAACCTGGAACCTCTCTCATACAATAAAAAGTGTGTGTGTGTGTGTGTGTGTGTGTGTGTGTGTGTGTGTGTGTGTGTGTGTGTGTGTGTGTGTGTGTGTGTGTGTGTGTGTGTGTGTGTGTGTGTGTGTGGGATCTATCGCCAACTCAAGGCATATGCTCGAACGGGAGCTGCCTGTACGCTGCAATCATGTTGCGCGCACTATCCGTGCTGAGTGTGCTGACTTCTCGTACAATGTCCCACTGTCTGGCTACCTGCATAAAGTCAAGTGCTCGGCGCAGTTGTCTGCGAAATGTCGCTCCTCTGTTTTCATTGAAACAGCTCCTTATATCCGTTAGCGCAGCTAGCTAGCACCAGATGCTAACAACAACAACAATACAAGTAAGGTGTGCATGTTCTATTTCGTATATGGCTTCGCCCTCTAAGGCTATCGCTATTGGGTAATCCCCCTGCGCCCCCGCGCAGCACTGAAACACTTGTAGTCCACGCCCACCCGC